CGAAAGCGCGCGTCAAAGAAGCCCTGAACCACCGTTGTTTCCTGTTACAGCCCCCCGGAAGAACCTAAACAAACGACATGTGTCTTCACTTGGGGATCCCTTTTCTCTGTTGGAAAGATGTAAACCTTGCAGATCCTGTTGCTCTTTTCTTGTTGGGCTAATTGTTCAGTGTTAGTTTCTCTTCTGGCGGGGTGATGTGTCAAGGGAAGGGGTCGGGAAGTCTGCTGCAAAGAGCAAGGAGTCCTCCCGTCTGGTGATTGCGTCAGATCACAAGGGCTGGAAGCCCTTCCGTCGCAGATGACGAACCGATTTTGGCACCCTGTCCTCCATTTGCTTAGAATGCCCTTGTTCGTTTTGGAAGGAAGCTATGTTCAAGAGGCTGGACCATGCTTCATTATCTCATATGAGCTCATGATGTGCCTTGGATCTAGCGGATCCGGAACTGCCCCTAGGGTTTAGGTGAAAACGGCCCCAGGCTTCATTGAACACCGCGAAGGGCGTGATTCTGCCTCCGATGCCATTCCGATGCACACTTTTCATGAGCGGCCCACTTTTAACCAGCCGTTTCTCCTTGGTAGGTTGGCGCCAAGCTGACTGGTTGTTTAGAGCGGCCCGGAGCGTGTGCCTTTGATTGGCTGACCCTATGCTTCCAAGGCAGGTGAGCCAAGGATTACTTAGCACCCCCCCCCATCCCCTTAAGCGGCGGGCATCCGCTCAGCGCTGCACACGCCTGCCAAATGGTAAAGGGCAGGAAGGGCCGATGATACTTGCGTCTCGCGGCAATCAGACTCAATATGGCCATGGTTCAAAACCAATGGTACCATTTTTGGATAGGTGCACCAACCATTTTTTTGTTTTAGTGGGGATTGGGATGTTCACTGGGGGCACGGAGTTTTGACCCATGGCCATATTTGACCCCTGTGATTGGGTATCTGTTCCCAATCGAGTTCGCCTAACAAAATCTACAAAGTAGCTAGCGGGTTAACGGGGTCGAAAAAATGATGATTCAACTGAATCCCTGTAAAGAAAACTAATTACACCCATATAGACCCCAGGTAGCGAAAAAGCATGCCGACGATTGTACACCAGCACCTCCAACAGCGCCTCCCGAAGAGCACCCCAATCAGCACCCTTCTGTCAATCTCACAAAAACACCCCCAAAGCACCCCTCCGTCAATCTCGCGAAAATGCACCCGCGCCATCACCAGCACCTTAAACAGCACCCCAAACTGCATCCCAAAACACCACCCCGTCAATCTTGCAAAAATGCGCCCGCACCGTCACCCAGCCGTCCATCGCCCCAAACAGCACCTCAAACAGCACCCCAAACAGCACCCCAAACAGCACCCCAAACAGCACCTACACCAGCACCCCAAAATTCACGCCCCCTAGCACCAGCCCATCAATCTCGAAACTCACTTCCCCCTCTTTATTAGAAGTTGGAACCCCTATAGCTTTCAGCTATCTGGGAATAAAAAGTAGCGGGGGGGTTGCGAGGGGCGGCAGCCCTCCATGTGATTCAAGAAAGGGGTGTGATAGAATATAAAAAGAAGCGGGAGGGTTGGCGGGGGTGGCTTCCCCTATGATGTTCGAAGAAGTGCATACCTACAGACATACATAGATTATTTGAAATGCAGTATTTTACAGCATGTTAGGAAAAGTGATGATTCCATTAGGGGTGCAAATAAATCTCTGCAAGAAGTCTAAAAAGTAGCTGGGGGGTTGGGGGGGAGGCGGCCCCCCCCATGATGTTTGAAGAAGTGATGATTCAAATAGGGGTGCTCTGCAAAAAAAAAAACCGGGGGTTGGAAGAGGAACTGGGAATGCAGAGGATGCGAAAAGCCCAAACCAAAAAGCAACCAAAAGCCGCATAAACCAACAAGAAGCCGAAAAGCCAAGAAGCCGAAAAGCCAAGAAGCCGAAAAGCCAAAACACCAAGAAGCCAAGGAGCCAAAAGCGAAAACAAATCCCAAAAAAGAACGGAAATAATCCTACAAAATACCCCTCCCCCCTTTCCCAAGGGAACCTGAGGGACATCTGAAGACACCGAAAAAAATCGTCCATTCTCCTGAGTCCTCAGATCCCTCGCTAAAGTTTAACTTGTAGTGGGCTCAATGAAAAACCCAACTGAAAATGGCTGGAAGCCACCAAGTGGGTGACCTAAATCTGATTGAACAGGTTTCTCCATGACACCCACATTCGACCATGAAAACTTCCCCTGAAAATGTTGGTCGGACATGCGGGGGATGTTAAAAACGATGCTAGGGATGCTGACGGGCTAGTGCAAAATACGTCAAATTCGCGAGTAAATGATGTAAAATACAACATGTTACTCGCCGGACGGGGAACAAAAAAAAAAAAACGATTCCCAAAATAAATCCGCACCCCTTAAGACACCCCTAGGTTTTCCATGGGTTTCCTTTGGAACTCGAGGTGCTTTGGCTCTCGGAGGGCGCTACACTGGTGGCCGACACAGAGCCCTCGCGGCTTCCGGCGGGGGAGGGGGGCGGCGGACTTTTTCTCCAGGTCTTTACTTCTATTTGCTTCCTTCCCCAGTAGTTCCCCTTGATATGTGTTGTTGTTTTTTTGGGGTCCCTCTTGTTTTCCACTATCCAGCTGGGGGTCCTCATCATGCGTTCCCCTACTTCTAGCTACTTTCATTTATTCCATTTATTCTCCAGCTACTTCCGTTTATATTGTTCAAGTTTCCCCTGTTGGTTTCAAAGGGAGTCGATTTCGCTGTGTTTTTTTCCAGGGGGCATAAGCAAATGGAAGTTTAGTATGACGTGATTCTCCCACAAAATGTCTGGAAAGCGGGATGTCCGTTCGGAGATGTCAAATCGTTTCCGTGTGGACGGTTGCGAAATCCGGAAATCGCACCAGCAAGAAACCCAACGGAATGATCCGATTCCACCATAAATACCAACAACAATTATGGTGTCCACCATGGTTTCATGAACTCGATTTTGAGACTCGCGAACTCGATTTCAAGCATCAGTCTTCCGTCAGTCACGGGAAGGAGCCGGGGCCGGGCTGGCCACTTTGAGCTGAGGTTCCTCAACCAGGAACCCAACCCCGCCCGTTGGGGCATGAGAATTTATTGGCTGGATATCGGATAGGCCGGCCTCTTTGATTTGAATATACACGGAATCTCCCCGTTGGGGATTGATTGGACCAAACTTTTGGGGGGGTCCTTCCGCTGGTTTTGGTTTTTGCTCAGAACCCAGAGCCGCCTTGCTCATGTCGCGACTTTTTAGGGGAGACATGGGAGGTGGTCGATCCCCGAAATTTCTTTGCTCACCGCAACACCTGGTGGTTAAACCAGGCGTCGCTTTGGTTCAACTCAGCTTGTTAGGTGGTTTGAGGTGTTTCAGTGTGGTTGGGTTTACATATTGAACTCACAAGTGGTCGACTTTTAGCAGCGGACAGACCATTTGGTTCAGCCATGGTTGTTCACCTAAAGCTGTTCAAGATATTCCGCACGACTTTCGACTTGATGCCGTGGTGTGTCACAACTTCCGGACATGAGTGTGTGTTTTGTTTCACTCTGTATCTGCGTAGCTGTGTCCCTGTTTCTGGGCCTACTCAGATATAGGGTGTACCTTGACAAACTAGGAACCATCGTTGTTCTCTGTGAAAACACATGAGTTGTTTGTTTCACTCCGTTGAGAGAAGCTTTGTGTTTTCATATACACTCCCTCAGGCTAACGCGTAAGCTCCCAGAAGGCGTTTCTAAATGGAACAAGGTCTTCCATGTCGTGAGCCGTTCGGGAGCTTCCATGGAATTGCCCAAGGGAGGGCCAACGACCATTTTGATCGGGTGTTTGGATGTTCGTTTCGCCAAGTTAAGTGGGGATCGCCAACTGGGTTAGCCACCCCACCCCGCTGCTTGTGATCCCCAGTGGATTTATTTACCTGTATAGTAGGATATAGTAGGTAACAAAGGGAAGCACCCTCTAAAGTTTCCAAGGAACATAGCAGGTTGCCTACTACAAAGGGCAAAACGCCTTCTTCCCTCTAAAGTTTCCAAGGAACATAGCAGGTTGCCTACAAAGGGCAAAACGCCTGGGATTCCAGTGGGAGAAAGATTCGAATTTGAAGCCCCCCTCCACCCCACCCCACGCGGCGGAGAGGTCTTGCCCGCGTTGCCATCTTGGGGCCCTAGGCCCAGCTGGCGTTGAGAGCAGCGAAATGAGCCTGGCTTTTTCTGGAGGGGGGGGGGGGGGGGGGGCGGGTACCGGTCTTTCCGTGGTGTGTTTGTTGGAACCCAAAAGTATGATATAATATGATTATTACTCGTTTACTCATTATACTGTATTATATCATATCATGTTATATCATATTGTATCATATCATATTCTATCATATTATATTATATTATATATATAGTATACCCAGAGGGTCCAAGTGCCTTCTTAGGATGTACTTAAGGGTGGAAAAAAGGTGTCAAAGTACATCCTCACAAGGTACTGGGACCCTTAGAGATATTTAAAAAAAGAAAGAAAATGCAGGTGTTTCTCAACATTGCGGTCCTCGAGGTAGGGAGGTTCCTGTTGGTTTCATTTAACCCATCAATCAAAGGGTTGGCTAAATGGACGCCCTATGTGTATGTGTATATATCATCCCTCATGGCTTCCTTTGAGGGGATCTGGATTTGTGCATTTCCAAAACCATATCCCTGAGAACCAGCACGGGCTTAAGAAAAGTCACAGCAAAGTTAATAAGTGATAACATATCTACTTTATTGTTAAGGAAACCCCAGGGAACTCAAAAATCCTGCTCTCAGCGGAATCTCCTTTTGCAACAAGGACCCTTTCTTGGGTTGCAGGTTTATTTGTAGGGGAACAACTTTTCTACCCAACCAACACCTGTAGGGCAAAGACGGTTTTCCTCTTCAAGGGACCTTTTCGTTAAGCAAAAACGAGGCTCTTGAAGTAAGTTTCCCCTTTTGTCACTCATCACTGGGGAATCATTTGAAGTGAGTTGCCCTTTGAGAGAAGTAGCGGGACCCCTAAAAACAGGCAGGCCGCACTCCCCTAGGGATCATGTCCCATAGATGTTCCCCTGACGGGCAAGTACGATGGACATATTGTACGGGCAGCATAAATGGCATGTTCCTTATTTTCGCCGTACACACGATCGCATATACATATATACATATATATATATAGTAGACATACATATGCTGCGACTGTCTGAAGTCTACCAAAGGAACAAACCTAGCGTTTCTTCTTTTTTTGGGGGTTGGGGGGGGGGGGGGGTGTTGAACGTACGGGGGGGGGGGGGGGACCATATATTTATACAGTAACACATATGGGTGTTGCTCAAAAGAGTGGTCCTCATCAAGCGGTTGGGTTACCTCGTGGTTTCCCCTTTTACCCTGCGGGGCTCTGACGTCTGAGGCCCTGCGCTCACGGCAGCGGAAGTGCTCAAGGAGGCAAAAGGGAAAATCCGTTCATCCGAAATGGCTTGCCCTGGTAAATGGTAGCATGGGATATATAGATATATATATATATATACACATGGTTGTTGTTGGGAAGCATTTTGCATTTTTGCTTATTGTGGTTTAGTGGTTGAACTCCCCACTGAACTGCTAAAATTTAGATATTTGCTCCCCTTCCAACGTCAACCATGTATATACTGAGTTTGCATGGGTTGGTTTGTGGGTCATGACTCACGGCATTTTGGGTATTGTTGACCCCAGAATATTCAACCCCAGTTTATTAATTGGGAGGTGTCCATAGTTTGGTGGGATTACCCTATGATTTTGGGGCAATAAACTTTTTCAGGGAATTTCGAAGGGTCCAGGAACCCCGGAACCGGCAAGTCCACACATATTCGGACTTGTTCAGTGGACTTCACTCTTGACCGACTGGACATTCAGGTGTTTCAACCGGATACCAACCCAACCCAAAAAAGATTGCCTTTTGTAGCCCAGGTCTCGCTAAAAATGTGTTTCAACGTCCCTACGTCGTACCAAGGTCCCTGCCGAACTTGGCGAAAAAATGGTTGTTATTCACACGAGCCAGTTGGATGGACCATCGCGACCCGAAGTTGTGGGTATATCCATATGGCTGTGGTTGTCAAAACCGTTCTGGGATCCCATTTTGGTTGGTAGGTGAATTCACCACCCCGTTTTAGCACCTATTCTAGTGGTTGGATTGAAGCGGATGTTTACTGGGGGTACGATTTGGATTTTGGGATTTTGAGCCATGGCATCATATGTGTCAACCAAGCGGTTGTCTCATAGAAGACTTTGGCTTCCCATAGGCCCTCTCAAAGTGGGGGAATATGTGGGATGAAGAGATGGCTGGTCTTGGGATGGGGGAACATGTGGGAATATGTGTAGGGGGAATATGTGGTTCTTTCCCCAAATCTTTTCCTTTTTATATTTCATTCACTCATATCGTTGCCTTTGGTGTATTGGTACAAAGGCCTTGCCACAACCCTGGTTTCCATTACCCCCAAACCCCAGGGTCGATCAAGAAGTCCGGATTTTGGACCACACTGGGCAACTTCTTCTGTGTTTGTCCCCATAAGGGATCAGGAATTCCCCTCTGCAGAACCCTCTGAGTCACAATCCAGACCCGGGTAAATGAAGGTTAGTAAGGGGCAATCCCAGCCATAAATGGTTGCGGCCGCCTTTGCAATTCCCTACATGGTTCCGGGTTCATCATTTGTGTACCAGGTTTTGATTATGACTCAACTGGCCAAAGAGAGCTTTCAGGTGTCCAAATGGATCGATCCCTTTGGCAATGTTTGGGTCGATCGCCTTTCCTCTGAAGAAGCCTTCGGTGGTTTGGATTGCAGGCTTGGGGATTTGGACCCCTGGTTCCTGGTTCGATGGGCAAGACATTGAGTTGGAATGGCCCCGAGAAGAACCATATCCCCGGTTTGGTTTCCTTTTAAGGGAATCTTCCGCTTCATTCCCAAACCCTGGGTCATTCCCGACCTATCGCACCAGCAAGTTGAGGGTAAATGAGAAACTACCTCCTACGCCCCCCCCCCCGGAACACTCGAAACCCGCGGGCTCCAAACCACGGTGAAACTCGGGTGTTTTCAGTTTTCTCTGGTCGCGAGGGACATTGGTAGCCAAGTTCGCAACTTTGGGTCATGGTGGCTAAAGATATGGAATGGCAGAGGAGCAAATAAGCCCAGGTAGTATTTTCAACAACAACAGAAAAGCAACCTTTCCGGAAGCCTAGGGCACACCTGCCCCGAACCACTCCTTGTCGCCTAATTGGGCAAAGAATCCATGGCCTTCAGCTGGGGAACAAATATGTCTGGAGTACCCCAGATTTCGGCCAAGCAACCTCTACGCTCGGCGCTCGGCGGTAGCTTGGATTAGGCTGAACTCGAGTTGGGGGAGCTTACGAGTTTAGTCCTAAGTCAGCTTCCACTTACCAACTTGGCCGAACACCCAAGCAGGGCATTGTAATTTTCGGGTATATCGTTGCTGCAAGATGGGCTCTCCGGGACCACAAGAGGGTGCAAACTGTCTTCTAGAAAGTGGCAGCCAGCCCGAGTGATAGCTTGCTGACAACAACTTACCTGCAGTTGTAGATGCCAACTTGGACAACACGTTGGCAACATGTTGGATACCTCAACTCAGGATTCCGCCATTTGTGTTTGTGTCAAAATGGTCGTGTCTGCTCGCCATTTGGGTTTATGTCGAACTGGTCGTCTCGTCCCCCCCACCCTTTCCCCGGGAACAAAAAACACTGAAAGAGCTAGTGTGGTGTCCCCTTGTGAACGCATCGGGTGGAATCCAGAGGTGCGGTGCTTGACCTTGTTGAAACTGAAAGAAGACCCAGAGTTGCTCAAAATCCGATCGCTTCCGATGTTGCACGAAAAGAGAAGGGCCCTTTTAGGAGGGGTCACACAAGGGTGCAGCAAAGAGTCGTTCTCCTGACCCCTCAAACCACCCATACAACATCTTGAAATTCACCCGCCATAAGTTTGGGTTGCCATGGTTCCCATGTTTCGTTTGGATTTTTGAGAGTCCAGGCCTCTTCTTGTTTAAATTGCCGATGTTTGAGGATTGTCCTAAGCAAATTGACAATGGCGATGTTTCCATCCGTGTTCCTGGCCAATTCTTCAACTGTGATGAGTCGGGCCGGGGTGAAGCATTCGTTTTGGTGAGGTTGAACCATGCCAAGCAACCATTTGCATTTCAGAATATTGTTTATTTTCCCTTGTTGGTTTTAAAGGGAATCTACCACCGCGGGAAATATGTGTTTTCTCAGGGGGGCCTCAGCAAATGCAAGTAAGTGCCCAACTAGACCGACCTATGATTGTCCTAGGGATGTCAAGGCCAATAGATCCTTGACTGTATGAGGCGTTTTAAGCCCGTATTGAAATTAGGCCCCTTGGGCCCATGACAACCATGCTGTGGCACGAGCTCCGTTTCGCAGCAAGTAGCGGGCTATAGAAAAAAGGCGCAGGGGGAAATGTGCGCGTGGTTTGACGTACAGGCTGGTGGGAAGCTGCTTCACCGCTTCAACGGCTGGAGGGTAATATAGAACCCCATGTGAGCCGCAATCAAAACCCGGGTAGATGAAGGTTAGTAAGGGGCAATCCCAACCATAAATAGCTGCGGCCGCCTTCATAATTCTTCACATGGTTCTGGGTCGACCATTTTAATACCTCCTGGACGCCCTCTGCAGACCAGCGCGCGCGTTTTGGGCCCCAAGCAATCAGGGCGAGCGCCTTGGAGTCATGGGCGATTCCGAGCGATACCCTTACTCGTTCAGAGCTTTATGGCATATACCATGCACCGAAGCTTAACACTGAACAGCGGATCCGAAACCACTCAGTTGCCCTAGTGCTTCCAGTTCTCACTAGTAGCCAGTATTTCTTACCATGCAGTTTGTAAAACCTATGTCACCTGGCAGCATTGGGCTGGCGATCGCCACACGATCCGCCCGCTCGATCCGCGCAGGGGCTTCTACGACCTCAAGCTGATCTCCGCGATGCGGTGCCGAGGCTCGAACAGATGTGTTCCGTCGGACTTTCGCGTTTTGTCACTTCCGAGTTACATGGCAAATGACTTTCAGAGCTCAGGAGCCAAAGCTTGGCGCAAAATTATGGTTGGCGGATTCCCTTTTGATATGGGTAGTTTGAGGGTCCAGGCATGCAGATCTCAGTGTCCACTATAGCCTCACTCACTGAGTTCGTGGACTTTATATTTGTTGGACGATTTTGGTGGTAAACAAAGAGTTTGATGTTTTTTTGGCCAGTCCTCTCAGGAAGTGATTTGTTTTGCTGGTGCTCAGTAGGAACGACCCAGGGTGTCAATTGGTGGGTGCGGTTGTCAGAAATGGTGTAACCCCAAAATGGGTTGCCCATGGAAATGGAAACATCCGGGTTTAATCTTGACCCATACCCATTTCAGTGGCAAGCCAAAAGTGAGCGTATTGTTGTTGGCGCACCCACAGATTTGAGACACAGGTGGGGATTGGTGTGCCATGGTTCTCGGACCCAATTGCACTTGGGGTAGGGATGTGGTCAGATCCTTGTACCTGGATGGGGATGGTCATGAACCTCTTGGTTTCCTCCATTTGCTTAAGAATATGTGTAAGTTTCCCGTTTTGTTCTTGTTTAGTTGGAATCGATTTCACTACTGAACATATTTTCTAGTTTCTTCCAGTGGGCGTTTATATATATATATATATGTATTAAAAAATAAGTAATAAAACAACCATTATGTGACGCCAATTATGTGGTCAGACCGTGATCAACCCGAGTGGTTTTAGACATGCATACCTTGGCCCGAAAAAAAGTTCCTACGAGCGGGCGCTGGCCTGAAAGCATCTCAGGTGCTTGTGGGCCCCAGGGGCTAAGTCATCTTGGTGGTCCCCGGCCATCCGGCTCAACTTGGGTTTGTGGTTTCTGGGGTTCAACGGTTTTTAGCTGCTGTTCTCAAAACTTGGGTGATTCTGCGGGCATAATCCCGGGTAATAAGAAAACCCTTGGAATTGAGTTTTTGGGGTTCCGTATTTAAGCCCACAAGTCGACTTTTAGCAGGTCAGAAAGCGGACTGCACCGAAGGATATGTTACCTGAACTTTGTGTTTTTTCGGGTTTGGACCATTTTGGCGGAAAGTACAAAGCTCTGACTTTGTGTGGCCAGTCCATTCTGGAAGTGCGTGAAAGTTGCGAGAGCGCAAGTCGCATCCGCCATGCAACACCGGTAAGTCGCAATACATGCATAAGAAATTAGATACATGATCGGTGTTTGTTGATGCTTGGTTTGTGGATTCCCCGGATGCCTTCCAAGTAGCCACGAGATCCTGCACGGGGCTCGAATGCGGGAAGAAGCGTGACTATATGTAAGTTGTGAAGTTTACCTAGATCCTCAAACTATTCGTACAAAAGGGAATTCATCCCATAATTGTTGGGGAAATAGTCCATTTGTAAGTTGGGGGTCCAGGTACATTTGGACCATAGTTTGGGCAATAACCTATTTCTAAGTTGGTATTTTGAGGGTCCAGGTGCATCTCTACGCCCAGACGAACGTTGCTGCGAGTCCTCAGCTCTGAGGCCGACCAAAACTCACACGCTCGACGTCTCATTTGACCGGCCAGGTACCAACCGCTGCTTTGGGGCAACAAGGCCACCGCCGTGGTTTGACCTGCGATTGAGAGGCGTAGATGAGGTGCAGACCAGGTGACCATCTTACGAACACGGTCGACATTTTGACTTCCCAGCGAATCGTCCGACTCAACGTAGGTGTTTGTAGTGTTTTGCTGGGTTTAGACCCACTAAGAGTTCGACTGTTAGCCGGAGATCTGAGGACAGCCCGGTCACAGGCGACAGAAGTCTTTGGCGCTGGGATCGGTTTGGGCCGCTCCGCGATTCCCAGGGACCCTGCAAACACGAAGCCCTGAACGTCACAGCCTTATTTGTGGAGGCATCTTGTGATATGGCTGTGGGTCAAACCAAGGGTATCGTTTTGGGGTAGGGATGGCACCACCCATTTTAGTCTGTTCACTGGGGGTACGATTTGGATTTTGACCCACGGCCATATGTTTTCTTTTAACGTTGGCTAAAGACGACACAGAATCTGACAAGATGGTTTTTGGTGCACGGGCTTGGCCGAAACTTGGCCGAAATTTGTCCCCGAGCAGGGTGGTCCTTGAGGGTGGTTCGATTCAAGAAGCCGTCTGCAAACGCCCCGGAAATGGCTATGGAGTCGACCCCGCAGAATAGAGCTTGCCCGCAGTCCTTCCCAACACGAAGGAATCCTGGCTCTTCAATCTCCCCCCCCCTCTCCATTGAAAACGAATATTACCTATGAGGGTCGTGATTCCTTCTAGACAAATTGGACCCTATGGCCGCCAGAAACCTTTGGCGTCACGTCTCGGGGGTTTTCGGGCGGTTCCCGGGCCTAAGTCCGAAAACTTTCGTTTCCGCCAGGTGCGGAACGTGACCATCACGGGCGAGAATGGCACCATCGACGGTGCGCACAAAAACACGGAAGCAAGGGCAAGGGCAAGGGATCGGGTCGCAAAAAGGAGATCGGTTGGCAACTTCCTCAAAGGGACCGGTCTTGGGATGTAGAAGGCAAGCCACAATCATTCAATAGTTGCCTTGTTTTAACTTGGTGGCTCCCAGCCATCCGGTTCCTTAGCCTTTCAGCTTTTTAGTGGTAGTTTCCATTTAGCCCACTACAAGTGAAACTTTTAGCGGGGGATCTGAGGACAGCTCAGGGATGTACACACTCATTCCAGAATTCCCTTGTTTTAAGTCACATCGATGTGGACCGACTAAGGCGCTTCCATTTAAGGTGCCTCCAACATGTTTTTGTCAAGGGCCTCCCGATGGACAAAAGCGTCCTTTGACGGACCCTGTCTCGCTTGCCCTAATCGAATCGATCTGTTAAACCCTTTTAATTTCCCACATTGTTCATATTTAGAATTTAGGAAAGGTTGTAAAAGGTTAACCGTTTACCTTTTGTTGTGGGCTGCAACTGAACATGGCTTTATTACGCCCTGTGGATTGACAAAGTGACCCTGCACCCGTTGGTAGGTGGCTTGTCCCAGTATCCATAGGGCTTCATCTCGCACTGAACCAGGAAAACCGGTCCGGAAAAAAAATGCAAAAAAAAAGAAAACTTGGAGACACCAGTTCAGAAAAGCCAAGGAGTTTTTGCAACGGTTCCAAGACAACTTGAACGCTGCGAGCTCAAGAAGGTCCGGCCGAAGATGTTGAAGAGCAAAGGCAGCCCAGCCCATCGATTGGGCACCACGCAGCGCTCAAGTCGGGCAGAGTCATGTTGAACACTTGCGGGACCATGCAATCGTTTCTAGAACGTTTGAGAATTTGTCAAGTTATGTGTGTGTGTGTGTGTTTCGTAATGCTTGCTATCTATTATATATAAGTTTCGATATGTGTGTTCAAGTTTTTGTTGGATGTTATGTCAACAGAACGTGTGACTGCAACTTGTGTAAGTTGTTGTGACTTGACGGGTCTGAGGATATCCACAGTAGGCAATACTAGACCTAGTGGCTGCAAGAGAAAGAACAGGTCAGCAACTTGGGTTCGGGTCAAAGCCACACGTTTAATTAGGTTTGTTCCCCTGTGCTTAATCTTTTATTGACAATTCACCCGGATTTGCCAGAGCGCTGTTGATGGGGTTTCGCCTGCATCGAGGGGTGAGTGAGTTATATCATTACTTTTGGCCCAAAATGGTGCGACCGGACGCTCTTTCCAAACTTTGGTTTTGGTCACCAGGGTTTGTGTTGTGACTGCTATCTCTAGGAAGCTCGTTGAAGCTTTGTTGCATTTTGCTTGGATGTTACGACTTTACCTTCTTGCCAAGAAATGGGTTGTCCATTAAACCACTAAAAGTTAAACTTTCTGCAGTGGAGCAGAAAGCAACCGAGTTGAAAGCCCCAACTTTTGGCGGTTTCCCTTTCAAAGAAACACCCAGAAGGCTTGACTGCTATTGGGTTGGATCTTTAGACTTTAACTTTTTGGAAAATCAAGGGGTTTTCCACTAAACCCCCAAAAAGTGAACAACTTTTTGCAGGGGGATCAACAGCAACCAAGAAGGCTCCTGGCAACTTCAGACTCCTTAACCTTTGGAGGGGTCCGTGGGTGTCAGGTCACGGTGTGGATTGGTGGTCGCTGCGCCCTCAGAGCATCGGCCTCGCTGGGCCTTGGTGCCCTTCTTTCAATCTGCGAATTCATTTGGCTGTGGTTGTCAAAACCGTTTTGGGATCCCATTTGCGGGCTAGGTGAATTCACCACCCGTTTTAGAACCTATTCTAGTGGGGATTGGGATGTTCACTGGAAGTACGGGGTTTTGACCCATGGCCATGTGTGTTGTGTCCATGGGATTCCAGGAAAATCCTTTAGCTTGTCGCAGGCTCTCTCTAGTCCACCCAATTCTTTGTTTCAGGTCTTGGACGTGCTAAGAGCACTAAGAGTAGTCCATGGTTAAGTGACCCTGTTGGGAAACCAACAGGGGAGGCCATCCGTTCTCATTTCCCGGATCCCAATGGCTGCACCCGAAAGTGAGGGGCTTCCATACCCGAACCCTCCTTTCCAGCAAGGGAGTTTTGAGGGTCCAGCTACGTTTCAACACCTGAACTTGGCGCTTCGCGGCCATTTGGTTCCTTAGGCATTTCAGGTGTTTAAATAGCCTAAAAAGTAGAGGGGTTCCATTTCACCCAGCAGAAGTAGCTTCATAAGTAGAGGGGTTCCATTTCACCCAGCAGAAGGTAACCATCCTAGAGAGGTACCAACAACCATCTAAGGAATGGACCCATGGTAGGATGTTTTCACCCAGCCAACTCTTCGATCAGAGAAACGGCCAGCGAGCCCTGCGCACCGAAGGCGCTGGCTGCGAGAGCCGCTGCTGGGCCGGCCCCACAGCATCCAATTCCAGGAGTCCCAGGCGCTTTCTGCGAATCGCGAATCGCCGGGCGGGCGAGACGAGCGGTGGGGAGCAGTGCCTGTGTTCTGTCAGAGATCTAGTCACCAAACCGTGTTTTTTTTTGTTTTTTTGTTGTTTAATTAATATATTATTATTTGTTTATAATTATTATTATTTTTTTCTCGGGGAGCACCGCTGTTTTTTGGGGGATGACAGTCGCCTTAGCCTTGTTTGGTGGTTTGATTTGGACCCTTCGGTACCAAATCCCAATTCGGCGAAGCAAACAATAAAATATACATTCTATACCTGGGCCTAAATCTAATCATGATATAGGAAGTTAAAAGTGGGAGGAGTTTAAGGAGGTGCACAAATTGCGAGGCGGTTTGGAGTCGTTCCCTCAGAATCAACCAAGCCGAAGTCATGTTGGGGGGTCGAAATCCCTGAGTCGTTTGGGTGTGTCTCGGCTTTTTAGTGGCGCGGCACGGAATGACCCCCATTGAACCGCGCCAGGCATGTTGCAAAGAACTGGTTGCAAGAACTGGAGATATTTGAAGCACACCAGCCAAAGCTGTCCAAATGCCGCAGGAGACATGGGCGAGCCAAACCCGGTTTCTGGTGAATCAAGAATAGCCGAAGCAAGAGGTTTGGGCCGTCAACCAGCTTTCCAACTCTTTCCAACTGCTTCTGAGGGCTAAAAGCCAAAAGCGATGTCATTGTCATTGTCCCCTTCTGTCAGCTTCCATCGTAAAGAGGGCAGTTCTTTGCTTGTTTGGTTCTCTCTTCTTTTCTAGCGGGGGGGGCGGACCTCGGGGGGGGGGGGAATTACCAAGAAGAACAAGGCGGCTGAAAACGATGCCATGGGTTAGGTAGTGAACGAGAGAGAGTGGGTGAGTGCGTCAGTCAGTGAGCGGGAGAGAGTGAGGGAGGGAGAGAGGGCGAGTGCGAGAACGCTGCACAGAGACGCGGAGATGCGCAGGACAACCTAGCAGGGACGCCCGTTTTGATGTCCCACACTCTCGCAGGACATCCTCATCAGGAACATCACCATCAGGAGATCACGTGGATTCTGTTTGCTTGCAAGGAGACAGGCTTGCTCCCATACCCTGATAGGAACTTCTTGGTTGTCGTTGGGAAACATTTTACATTTTTGCTTATTGCGGTTTAGTGGGAAATCCGCACTTAACTGCTAAAATTTAAATTGTTGCTCCCCTTCCAACGTCAACCAAGACTTACCTGCCTGTCCACTAACATGTAGCCGTAGAGGAACAAGGTCTTCCGGGATCACCCAGTTAGGTTCCATGTTAGTGGGTGAGAGGGTACCCTTGGCGTCCTTGAGTTTCCCTGTACCATATACCAGGGCCCCGGATTCTATGTTTTGGAACAACCCGCCCAAAGGCTTCCTTGGCTAGTGGGGTGCGCCAAGTAGCTCTAGTTGCAAGGTTTCGCAGGGACGTTTGGCGAGCTTTTGGACCATTGGCGTAGGTTCGCTGTCTGTCGGGCGGGAAGGGAACACCTCAAAGGGAAGAGCTGCATCCTCTGCGGGTGGAGCTCCAAGTCCCTTCCGACCTCGGGTGACTTCCCTTTTTTTTCACCGGGGGTTTAGGTGAGAACCTCCCCAAGTCAAAAACTTCAGCCACCGGTTCCAGAGAGGGAGAAATGGCCCAAACCGAAAGCCAAAGAACAGTGAGAAGACGTGGCATGGGACGGAAGATCAGTCCCCTCAAGGTACCCCTGGCAGCTGCGATGGGAGGGGAGTTCATGGCTTTGGGCTTCAGTTTAAGGAAGACAATCCGAGGCAGCCAATTGGGAGGCCTCCGGCTTCTGGTTTCCGTTTCGGGGATTGGCCAAAACCGAAGCCTTCTGGGTTACTGGGTTATTCTATCGAAGGCACCTTGATACATTCCGTGCTTCCAACCATTCTATATACTGTGGATGGTTGTGAAATCCAGTTCGCACCACTTTGAACAAGGAAGGTTTGTTAACAGGGGAAAACCACGTGAATGTTGTTATTTAGCGTTCGGGAATCGTTCAAATCATTTCGTGGGGGTTTCTGAAGGTTGCAACTGATTGGATTTCGAAGTCAGCGCTTCCGAGTTCCTCCAGCCGGGCTCTTGGGCGATTGATGTTTGTTGTGTCAGGCATCGCCAAAAACCAGGTCAGATACATGTTGGATCATGTTGGCCCGTTGAAAACTGCCCGCTTTCCCAAAAAACTGGTCGATGTTTGACTTCCTTCTGGAAATTTCCCCCTGGAAAACCACACCTCCAAGCTGGCTTCCCCTAAGCAGCATCCATTTTCGGCTTCCCTTTTTTCAGAAACCCACCTGTTCAGTCGGGCTTCCCACTCAAGGGCACCTTACGGCCGGAAGGAACCCGGGCTTCTGGACAGTGCACCTTTGGCGCTGCGCATATGCAGAAGCCTTAGCTCGGTTTCTCTCTCGATCCGATGCGAAGGCATGCGAAGGCTTGAGGAAATCAAGGCCAAAGGGAACTGAGGATAGGAAGCTCAAGGGGCAAAAAGGAGTTTTAAGACATGTAGGTCTATAGGACATTGTCCAATCTTTGTGTCAGGTTTAAGTAACTCTTAAGATTGGCTGGGTGTTTGGCTCGCGGGTCTAAGTTAAACAGTGTTGCTGCAAGCCACTGCAAAAACATGACTTTCAGGACCCTGCAAACCAGCACGGCAACAACGGAAAGCGACAGCATACAACCAGCATATGTCATGTATAGTTCATGAATTTGGAGCATGTTTAGGGCAAAGACTACGCATGCAAAATGCGTGCTGAGTTGTTCTTTGGCTTTTGTGTGCATTTTGGCATACCGTTCTGTTTGGATGTGTTGTGCGTTCATCGGCTAGGACATGCTGCCTTTCCTTTTGGAACGTTGTATGCATGCCGGAGGCATGCAAAATCGCTACAGTGGTTGCTTACATTTTACACGCATACTGCATTAAGTTTGGAGCATTGTGGGCAAAGACTACGAGTGCAAAATGCGTGCCGTCTTGTTCTGTGTTTGCTGTGCATTTCGGCATGCCGTTCTGCTTGGATTTTGTGTGCTTGCCTTGGGTAGGACATGTTGCCTTTCTTTTTGGGATGTTGTATGCAAGTGTATTTTGCATGCATTGGTTGTGCATTTTGGGCATACTTCATGCATGCACCAGGCTGTGCGCAGCTTGGCTTGCAGCATACGCTTGTGTTCTTGTGTTTGCTCGCATTTTGCATCGGTGTGGGCTCTGGGTGTCTGGGGTAGGTTACTCCCCTCACAATTTACATTGCCAAGCAAGGGGTCCGATTCCCAAAAGGACATTCCGATAAGAATGTTGGGCTGGGATGGGTTGAAGGTATTTTGCCAGGAGACTTTCCACTGCCAGGTTTTGTCGGGGGCCCTTTGAGCATGCCCTTGTTGGGGTTGGTTTCAGAAACGCAAACCAAGGCCGGGGGTGGAGTCATAGCACAAAACGAGGCATGTCCCTCGAGAGGCTTGGTTTAAGGGGACAGTGTAAAAACCACCCATTTTGGGCGCTCGGATTCCTACTTTGTTGGTGTGTCTTTTTTAGAGCCCAAGGATAGCTTCGGTGAACCTTTTGCTTTTCATCTAACACCGCTCGTTCACCAAAAGACGGGGTCCCCCCCCCAAAAAAAAATCACTTAAACCCATATACCGGAATGGAGTAGGGGCTCGAGGACCTGCTTGGACCTCTTGGATCGGTTGCCTTCTTGATTCCGGTGGCTTCCAGGAGGCGTTCCAGCTGAGTGCGTTCCAGTTTTTGAGATGCACAATAGTCTTTTTTAGCCGCCGGCCACCGGCCACCGGCCACTGGCCCCCGGCCCCCGGCCACCGGCCTCCCACCGGCCACCGGCCCCCGGCCACCGGCCTCCCACCGGCCACCGGCCCCCGGCTCCCGGCCTCCGGCCACCCGCCACCGGCCACCGGCCACCGGCCCCCGGCCACCGGCCCCCGGCGCCGGCCACCTCCCTCTTCAGCATGCCATCTTGCAAAGGCCAGCTCTTTGGTCACGCAACGCAAGCCGAGAGCCTGCTCACTGCCAGCTCGTTCCCTTCAAGTTCTGACTTGCATTTCTGTAAGGGCCAGCTTACTAGCACAAATCTTGCGCTGCCTCAGCTGAAGGCAAGCTTGCTGGCTTGCCGTCCACCCAGGAAGCTTTGCCATCCTTCCCACGCCAGGCTAGTTGCACGGTGAGCTTGTGATGGGTGTCAGCAAGCGTTTTTGTGCACGTGCTGAGCTTGTTGTGCGTGTCAGCTAGCCTTTGTCTAGCCAACTCCCGCGCCCGAGAACATTGCACGTACCAGCATGAGCAGTTTTTTCGAGCAGGGTGTGCCCCACGACGCAGTGACACAGTTCAGCTTTGTTCTTCTCCAGACCCGATCTGCGCACATGGGCGATGCCTGGGCCTTGACTTTGACCTCGGGGAGAACAGTGTGTCCACATTGTCGCTCTCCCTTGCTCCAGGCAATCCAGGCGAAGGCTGGCGCACGAGGCTCTGTTCAAGCCCATGTCATCGCCGAGCCTGACAGCTTTGTGACCTGGCACCTGTCCCGAGCTTGTCCTCGTGCTTGCCGAAGGGATACTGGTGTGGCTTCGTCACCTTCTTCCAGCCGCAGATTGGCAAACGGGGTCGTAAGCACAAGCAGGTGGATTGCCCCAACGCCAAATACTTTTTTCTGTCAGCTCCCAACGGGATAGCTCGCAGTTGGCTCCGCAGATGGCGCTACCGCCTCTACTTGCAGAGGGCGAGTTTTCAAGCAGAGGCCACCTTGCTGCGACTGCTGCAAGCTCATGTTCGGCTTCGTCTTCGGGAGCAGCTTCGCCAACTTTGGGCCCGTGAAATCTTGTGTCGCCGTGCCGTTGAGGCCGGGGTGAACGAGGACTTCCACAAGCAGGCTTTGAATGGTCCTTTGGAGGCGCTCATAGCTGGAGCTTGGAAATGGTATGAGCCTCTTATGTTCTCAAGGCGCGGACAGGGTTTCCTCTCAAGCTACCGCTTTCAGCCCTGCAGATTACAGACAAGTCTGTGTCTGAAACTTTCGTGTCGGAACCCCTTTTGTATAGGGCGGTCGGACATGTGCCACGGGGGCAACTGCTGTTGTTGTTTGCGGGCTCCGCTTGTACATTTTGCAGGAACCTAGGTCTCGACCAGGCCCATTTTTGGCAACTTGCAATGGGGACTTGCTTTGCAGCTGACGCAACTCGCCAGCCTTCTGTTGCACACATGTGCCGTGTTTCTTGTGCGCTTTCTATGTAACGAGTAATGGGCGAACACAGGGGCACTTGCTGTGAAAGCCAGAGCCTGCAACCGCCTTGCCTGGCAGGCGACTTGCTCAGCTGGATTCTTCTCGAGATCGGGCAGACATCTTGGCCATCGATGGCAACGCCAAGTTGCACAGGCGAACCTGCGGCATGCCGTTCGCCGAAGTTGTGCCAAGCCCACATCTGCGTAAGCTGCTGCTGCGTGGGTGCAGCTCCCGCCCACAGGGCAAGGACACTCTCTGCAAGCAACATGCAGCTGCGCGGGACAAGCAACTTCCCCCGCTTGACCCATCCTCGCAAGTTTCTCATCATCGCCTTCGGAAAGCTCTGCACCAGGATAGCGACGCCTGTCACTTTGAAGTGCAAATCTCTGGATTTCGTGGCTGGCAGCCCGCTTGCACCATCAAGGAGGATGTCTTAGCTCAACACTTTGCCCGCCAAGCTGATGCCAACATACGCAGGCGTCGTGAGAGAAGGGTGCAGGCCCGCAAGCAGAAGTGGACCGGCATGTGGCCGCGCCCTCGGCGCTCATTTCTGGCTTCTTGGCATTCTGCTGGGCCAAAGCAACAGCTCCTCGGCAACAGTTTCTTTTTGGCAAAGAATGGCTGTGTCTTGCGCCCAAAGCTAAGAGCTAACGCCTCCAAAGCATTTTTGCAGCCCTTAGCCGCCCACGCGAAACGCAGGAGCTCTTGCAACACGCACAAGGAGTCGCCAAAGGAGGCCCACGCAGCTGGATGTCGTGCAGGATAACTTTCACGCTGCGGACCACCTGCCCAAAGCTTTGTATGACTTCCTCCTGCCGATTGCCACTTCTACGTGCCAAGGGCTGTACGCCACCGCAATGCTCTTTCTCGGGTCCATGCCTGCCTTGAGCAACGGGGCCAGCGTCAAGTTGTGGCAGAAACCATCCCCTTTCGCTTTGATGGTTCTTCACATGGCTCCCGCGCAAAGGGGGAAGTCCCGTCTCTTCCAGGCTGTCGAACTGATGTTTGAGACTGCGGACGACTTCGTTGAGGTCATGGCCAAGGAAGAAGCAGCCAAGGTCGCTCAGCGAGTGAGAGCAGAAGGCGTGGGCGAGCAACCTTTGCCAGATGTGTCTGTGCAAACCAAGAGCATGTGTCTTCAAAGCTTCACCATGACAGAGCTCTTCTACAGGTGCAGCGCCGACTTTCCCCAGGTCGAGATTCACGGTGGATGCAACAAGAAGGAGAAGGCGGCTCTACGTCTTTGGTTTGGCCAGGCCTTCAACTTGGACGAGGCCTATGAGTTCTTGGAGAGCTTGTTTGTTGGGTTCCAGAGGTGACAAGGCCAAGGACTCATCCGTGAACGCCCATGCCAGCACCCTCAACACGCTGCTTGCTCGGGGCAAAACCAAGAGAGCCACGAGAACGTCTACTTCATACGAGGCCTCCAGGACACAGCACGTAAGCCTCTCCTTCCTTGGTAACGGGCACCCTGGCAAGCTCATACCGATGGAGCGGAACTTGGAAGGCCAACACACAGCAGCCACGAAAGAGCGCTTCCTTCTCTGTGTGGATGTGAGCGTCCCCAGGCACGAGAGCTTGTCCCCTGACATGCTCGCCGCAGATGACTCCTTGCCGGCGTGGACGTGGCTGCCGCTCACGCCGCTCCAAGCTGCTATCTTTGGCTGGACCGGCATTCTCAACAACCCAGGACATTTCGAGGGCCAGGAGCCAGGGCTCGAGAATGATGAAGAAGGCGATGAAGGCTTCCCTGCAGTTTTGCCCGATGGTGTTCGCTCTCGCATCCGGTACGTGTACGACTCTGCTCCCGCTCCTGCAGGCCCTTCAGTTGCAGCCAAGCAGCCTGAAATAGTTCACACTTCATCTTGACAGGCAGTTGGGTCGCAAGCCAAAACCCATTCAAAGTCAGTTTTGTCACGTTCACGTTCTTCTTCAGTAGCCTGGTGGGGCCAGCGTGTTGGCCAGGGCCTTCCCTACTTCTTTTGCTTTGAAACACTCGAGCAGGTTCCCCTCCGATAAATGATGCGCTAGTCTTGTGTCGTTGTGACGGTTTCCACACACTCTCAGCCACATGTTCAACTCCCGCCCCACTGTGACCTCTCAGGTCTGCGCAAGGCTGTTCGCACAGAGTGGCGAATCAGTCGTCGATGGCAAGTTCGTGACCAGACAGAACACATACAAGCCGGTGCCCGACGGGTCTGCGAGTATTTTGCCAAGCGGCCGAACAAGACGCTGGAGCTGATGCTCGGTGCCTTGTCAAATTTGCATTGGGGAGGTTAAAAGTCGGACCGCAACAGCAAGTTGCTCTGTTGTCGTGTCATGCAAGTGCTGTGACATGCCACCCTGCGGTTGTGTTATTTCGCAGCCCTGCAGGCAACCAAGTGGCGCAATCCATCCGGGCTACCAACAAGGATGGCCAAGCTTCCATGGAGGCCTTGCACGCCAACGCGGCTCACCAGCAAGGTATGATGAGCGCAGCGGTGGCAATTCTGGAATTGGCTGCTGGAGGAGGCTCTTTTGACGAGAGTGGCCAGTTGCAAGTTACTGAGGACCACGTGCAGGCCAGGCCAACTGCATCATTTTGCTCCTCCATGCGTCACTCTTTTGCCCAAACCGTTATGTTCCTTTCTGCTCCACCACGCACTCACACTTGTTGCGGGCCCTGCGCAAGGCCAGCTTGTTGGGCACTCAAGCAACATTTGTCAACTTGGTCACCACTTTACCACAAGCCTGTCCTTTTGCGCAGGTGGCGTCCAGGCTGGTCGAGCTTAGCTTGCAGATCCGGGAGGTGCTGCGCGGTCCAGTGGACGCAGCGACGGCAGAGAGTTCCGAGTCCGACGGTGAGCTATTCAAGCCTGTTGAAGTCCCAGCTCCGCAGCGGCGCTTCGCGCCACCAGCAGCCACTCAGTTGCCAACAGTCGCGCAGCCCCGTGCAGAAGAGCCGCTCCAACATGACGAGCACGTCCCTGTTCCTCTTCCAGAGTCCTGGTCCCTACAGGTTGCAGACCAGCCTGAAGAGGCCGAGGCTCCACAGCCTTTACGCCCCTCAGATCTGCAGCCTGCTGAAGCCTTCTTCGCCACAGGTTTCGGGGAGAACGGCGCCATGATTTTGCCAGGTAAGATGCAAGATCGAGCCTTCATGAGCAAGTTGCTTCTGGCGGGGCGCAGTGAGGTCACGCTCTCAAAGGCCGTGGACGTCTACCATCTCCTGGAAATGCAGGGCAGCAAGCGCCGGAAAATACGCCTCAAGCAAAGCTTCTACAGGTCTGCCAGAAAGCTTTCTCTCTTTTTCCTCGGCTTGGCCAAGTCAATGTGACCAAGCGTGGGCTCCGAGACGACTGTGCTCCTTCGTGGGTGGTCTGCCAGCACGACCAACCAGCTGCTGTTCCACAATGAAGCAATGAGGTGCTGTCGAGTGTCCATTCGGGAAATTGCAAAGAGGCGGGCGCTGTGGCATGACCGCAGCGCAGGCAGAGGCGAACACGGCGACGAAGCTCCAGAGGAGGAGGCTGCAGCAGACGATGCCGCAGCGGAAGCTCCCCAACCTGCCACGCCACCCACTGGCCGACGCTGACGCTTGAAGCTCGAACACCGCAAGAAATAACTGCGGCCGTCTGCGCCTGCTTTGCTTGCCTGCTCACGAAATTCCGTCCAGCCAATGACCTGTTGCGGTTGACACTTGTGTTACGAAGATAACAAATTCGAGGTATGACCCTCTGGTTTGCACTTGGTTTGTTTTGGATAACCAAGCCAACCTTGCCTTTGACAGACCTGCAGCTGTCATGACCACCGACAGCAGGTTGCATGAAAGATGCATGCGTCGCGATGGCCACTTTGGCAAGAAGGATCAAAAATGTTTCGCTCCCACCCAGCCACTCCCTGGCCCACACAAACGTGGGAGATTCCGCCTCTGGAGCGATGGGGTGTGATGGGCAGTATGTCCACACCCCCGTCTACATCGGTGCTTCACTTAGCACAAGTTTTTGCATCGTTTCTTCATTTTGGGTTGATATAGGTTGAACCAGCTCGACGTCGCTGATGACCCATGCTCCAGGACCAGCAGGCACATAGAGTCGGTCAATGCGGCTTGCTGTTACAAGATTGTTGTCGCCGCTACTTTTTTGGTTGGCCATGTCATGTCGCACGCCAGAGCACGCTGGCCAGCTTGTTGAGCATGTCAGAAGCATTCTGAAATGTCTGCCCAACAACGCGAGCCAGATTGCTGGCCATGCGAGCAGCTAACGCCGCACGCTGCCGCTTAAAACACAGCGTCTTGGCCAGCTTGTTGGCGTGTCGTGTCAGTCTTCTGCCTTCTTGGCCAGCTTGTTGGCCGCCAGACACATAGCACGAGCAACATTCTCGCGCCGCAATTTTCCCGGCAGCCAGCCACCGGCAACCACCCGCCGACCACCGGCCCGGGGTACCGGCCACCGGCCACCGGCCACCGGCCCCCGGCCACCGGTCACCAGCCACCGGCCACCGGCCACCGGCCACCGGCCACTGGCCACCGGCCACCGGCCCCTGGCCCCCGGCCCCCGGCCACCGGCCACCGGCCACCGGCCACCGGCCCCCGGCCACCGGCCACCGGCCACCGGCCACCGGCCACACAAAAAAAGCTATACCCGAAAAATGAGGGTGTCAAATAGGGAGATGCCCAAAAAAATCTGGGTGGATCATAACAACCTCACACGACCGAATTCACCCCAAATGGTGGTTTATGTGGGGAGTAGCCCCCCAACCACCTTATCTCAGGTTGGTGAAATATTATAATTCACCCAGACAATTGTGTTCTCATGCAACCTGAAAAACGCACAGACCCAAATGGCGGGTGGGTTTTCTTTTAAGCAATCACTGGAAAGGGTACCTGGGGATCGATGAATCTCAAACAGACCGCTAGTCCGACAGTGTTTCGCACAGTAAGCATCCTTGTTAGCAGCATGCTTATGTCAGCATACTTCTAGCCATCCTTCTCGCGCGAACGGCCGCAACCTGTATCATCATCTATCTGGGAAGACGTGGCACAAGCGTAGCCAAACGCATGTGGCCAGGTCGAGGTGTCTTCTGGCGGCACGGACCGCGCTTGCGCGTGGCCTCGTGGAACACACGACGCGTGACCCGCGCCAAGCTCGAAGGGCGCCGCGCGGCGATATGTTGGTCGCACGCGTTAGAACCTTTGTTCGCGTGGCCTCTCGCGCCATCTTCTTCTCAAGTCATCTGCGAACAAGTTGGCTTCAAGGGCGCGGCGCGGTCTCCAGATTGGCCAGAGGACCACTGCAGGCCCCTTCGTAGCTGGAACATCACCCAAGTTTGCTTCAACCGAGGTGCAATGACTAACGATGGGTCAGCTTGCTTGCACGAGGCGCGTGTGCTTTTCTAGACATGGTCGTGGCAGACTACCAAGCTTCCACTGCCGGTTTCCCACACTTGTCTCAGTTGAGCCTGCCCATTAGGGCTTGGCGCCTTGCTGGGATGGGCCTAACCCCCCCAAAAGAGCTTTTGGCAGCCCCCAGCCCTTGACGGAGGTTTCTGAAACAACTTGGTTACTTTGAATACCTTCTGAGGTCACGGTGCAGTTCCTCACGATCCTTGTCGACCCGCGCGTGGCCCAGTGGCAGCTCCCACAAAGAACGTGTCAAGTTAGTACCCAATAGACCACATTACGCTAAAAACGGCTGAGTCCCAATCATAGAAATAAGAAATAGACAAAGCCTCACGTCTAAGCAAAACAGGGTGGCGCCAAGCCTTCCAAAGTCGGCAATACGTCACAGGGCAGAAGTGAAGCCAATGCCCACCTTTCTTGCGCCGCTCATCCCCTCGGGCTGTTTTCAATTGGAAGCCCGCGCTTGGAAAGGCACGCCTTGTGACGTG